TCTCTCCTTATTTCCTTCTTCCTTTCCACCATCCCTTCCATCCATCCATCCATCTTCCTTCTCTCTCTCCCATCCCTCTTTCCCTCCCTCCTTTCTTCCATCATCCCTCCCTCCTTCTTTCCTTCTTCCTTTCCACCATCCCTTCCATCCATCCATCCATCNTAGTTAAAATCCCCCACTACTATTGTGGTGTGCTTCCTACATACCTTAGTTACAACAACCCTATGAGGTGGTGTGGTCTGAGAGAGAGGGATTGGCAGAAGGCCATCCATTTCATGGCTAAGGGTGGACTAGAATTCACCATCTCCTGGTGATTGGTCCAAAGTCACCCAGCTGCCTTTCATGGCTAAGACAGCAGAATTCATTGTCTTCTAGTAATTGTCACAAGGTCAGCTACTCAGCCTTTCTGCTTAACGTGGCACTAGAACTCACTGTCTCCCGCTTTCTAGCCTGGTGCTTTAACCACTAGACCAATGCAAGATCCATTCGTGCATTTCTAATAGATGGATTGAAGCTATGTTTTGAAGAGTTTTAGAGTATGGTATGGTATAGTGTCTCCTGCCTGAGCAGGGGGTTGGACTAGAAGACCTCCAAGGTCCCTTCCAGCTGATTGCATCGCGTATGAGATAACAGAAGCCAGCTTTTGACTCAACAGTGTGAGTAATGTCAGTCAATATCACAGAGTGAAGGAGAGGACTCATTCGTCATGTGAAGTGGGGATTTCTGTCTCTTCTAAGCATCATCTCCACTACATGACTCATCTTCTAGGTGGCATCTAACTATAGATCCTTCTGCAAAATTCCAGAAGTTCCAGAGGCTCATTTAGATTCTGACTCGGCTGTTAGGGACACAGCCTTGAATACAGTCAGCCAATCCTTGACTGACCATCTTGGCTATCTGACCCTGGACATAAATTGTTTCAACTCCTACCTCAAAACTACATTATAGGGCTCTGCACACCAGAACAACTAGACACAAGGACAGTTTTCCCCCGAACGCCCTCACTCTGCTTAACAACTAATCCCACATCACTGTCAAGCTATCTACCGTGGCATGACAAAACCGCGCTCCACTAAAGCGCGCCCGATTAAACCGCGTCGCTGACGTCATCAGCAGGGCGACAACAGCGATCGTGGAGAAAAAAAGGGTTAGGTTAAGGGTTAGGATTAGGTTAGCGTTAGGTTAAGGGTTAGGTTTAGGGTTAGGTTTAGGGTTAGGTTTAGTGGGGTTAGGTTTAGGTTTAGGGGTTAATTTTAGCTTTAGCGTTCACAGCGTGCTTTTTTCTCCACGCTGTTGTCGCGCTGTGATGACGCCAGCTACGCGGTTTTGTCGAGCGCGCTTTAGTCGAACACGGTTTTGTGGTGGAACCACTATCTACTAAGACTGCATTACTATCATTCTTCTCTTGTCTTCCTAGTGCCTATCTCTTCTCACTTATGACTATAACCGTATTGCTTGTATCTTTACGATTTATATTTTTATTTGTTTCCTAGTATGATTGGATTGCTTATTAGTAACCTATGGCTATCACTAAGTGTTGTATCTCATGATTCTTGATGAATATATTTTATGTTTTTTTTTTTATGTACACTGAGAGCATATGCACAAAGACAAATTCCTTGTGTGCACAATCTCACTTGGCCAATAAAGAATTCTAATTCTAATTCTAATTCTAATTCTAATTCTAATTCTAATTCTAATTCTAATTCTAATTCTAATTCTAATTCTAA